TAATGAACATGCTAATCCTGGTCACAAGGTGCTACATATAGCATGACCACTGAAAGTTCATGAAGTCTTGGGGAAAGATAGTCCTTTGGCTCCTCACAGGTCTTCTCATGCAATGTATGTTTGTAATAAATGTCTTTCCAGTGTATGAAGTTGCTTCCCTTGCTTCTGTTTATTCCACTTTCAAAAACCTGTCCTACTAGAAGCCCCCTGGCAATAATCAATGTGACTACACAGCAAACGTTACGTCAGATAAAAACTAATATACATCCTTTACAGAGTTTCAGCTGGAAAATGGCAAAATTCTCCTATCGTGTAGCTAATATACAGAATTATGTATAGTCCCTCCATTCATCTAGGAATGAGATATCCCACAGAATATTTTCTAATATTATAGCCATGCCATTCCACTTGTCTGATTCCCATGCCATCAAAGATGGCTGTCCTACATGACAGATTACTTAAAAATAATTTCTTCCCATTTCACTCCTACTGCATACAGTGAAAATACAGAAATGAGCTTGTATTGTTGAATCTATTGCTAGCAACAGAAATCAAAAATCTAGCACCTTGAATTCATCATCTCTGTATTCTGGTTTAGTTTTGGTTGTTTTGTTGTTTTGTTTTTTTTTTTTTTAATTGTTTTAAACAGTCCAAAAATGTTCTGCCATTCTGAGAGTTTAATAAAAATCACCTCTCTCAATTATCTGAATCTCCATCTCTGTATCAATAGATAGGAAAACACTGTTGAGTAAATATTTCACCTTTTATTTTGTGCAGCAATGACCGTCTGACATTGAATCAATCAGTTTCTAAATAGCAGAAAAGAGGATAGCCTGCCTTAGGTACTTTTTAAAGAAATTTTACTTTAATTCTTCCATCCTTATACAATGCCCATGCTACAAAGATGTTATATGTCAATATTTAAAAAATGCACAGTATGATCAATAATAATAGAGAATATTGTGGTCTGAGAAAACCAACTGCCTTCTGCTTAACTCTTCTGTGTAGTCTCTCTCTTTGCTCCCAAGAGAGCAAAGAAACAAAGCAAATAGCACTGACAGTAAAGTGTACTTAGCTATTTTGCTCTAGTGGACCTTCTCCATCCTTGTTTTAAACCTGCACTCTTCTGGCTGCAAACACATGCTTCTCAGGAGGCAGCTGAACCTAAGTTTCTTGAGGTTCTTATAGTCTTGGCAGAACTTTATCAAGAAATAATAATTAAAAAAAACCCTTTTAAAAATTAAAAGGAGGATTACTTAAAATTAACAACGAAGAAACAATACTGATTTCTCTATTAGAAGGAGCCACCTCATTTTCTCATTCCTGAATAATTTATATACTTGCCTGTAACAACCAAATTCTTGTTGTATAGCCATGAAAAATGTCTTTTATCCACCATTTGCAAGACTCAAAACCAGAATCAGGTGGCTTTAACATGAAATGAATGAAAACCAGAAGGAAAACTATTCCATCTCTGATGTCTGCAGAGAATGGGAAGAGCCTACACTTTATTGTTTTCATTGCCTATTCAGCAGTGATAATTTTGAATTAAAGAAACAAAGCATAGTTCCACTCAGCACAAATTTTCAAAGCAAAAAGCTCTAAAATAACTAGCATTGACTGCTCTTCTCTGGAAAGAGATTTCTTGACTTGTCCTTACAAGTCTTGTTTCCCTTCAAATTTGGCATTCATGTGGGTGAATAGGTCCTGGAAAGCAGCTGCCTTCTTTATATACAGAAAATCAAACGAAGTTTCCATTTATCTCAGACATTCACTCATGGTCCTGACTGTAACAATACACAGACTAGCAAGTAGAACTTTAGCCTGGAACATTTTCTTATTTACACTGGTAACAGAAAAAAAGAACCAATACTGTGTCTCTGCTAAAGCCTTGAAATGTTATTATCTGTAGCTGTCTTTTCTGTCCCTTTTCCTTCACACATTGTGAAGTTTCAACACCCAGAAGCTAAAGACTTCACATATATTCATAGTTCTTACAGACCACAATACTACAGATCGGTCATAGTGTAAGAACTTGACAAAACAGAGTAAAACCTGTAGTATGTAGAACTATTCATACTCTTATTGTTCCACAGACAGAAACTCTGACAATTTTGGCTCTAATAACATGGATATATCAGCAAAAATGTTGCTGTTCTGCACTGCACAAATGATTTGTATCAGTTAAACAGGATTTAGTGAAATAAACAAAATTGAACAAAAGTAGATACTGCAACTCCCAGGTGCAACCTAATTTCACCAGTGTCTCGTATTAGGGTTGCAGTACTAGTGGATTGAATTGTGGGTAAACTCCTTCGGAAGACTTCCTCCCAAGGGTTTCCTCTTACAAGAGGCACAAATACCAAGTTGGTCTATGATAGCACCACTACGAAAAGATTTACAGAATAAGAAACATTTGTGTGTCTTCTTCAATCCAGAGTCACAGACATGCCCCAGAGACGAGTAAAGCCTAAGTGGACTACTCACTCCAACTCACTCCACTGTTTTGCATTTAATTACGTCTGTTAATTTGTGTTCACATTTATGATATATACTTATTCCTACAGCAGCTATGTGAGGCACAAAGGCATTCTTTCCCACAAAGGTATAATCAAATAAGTATTTTTTTACAAAGCTACTACTGCAGACTGTACAAGATGAAGATTTGTGTAAATCTGCAAAGGAGAACCTTATAGTAGTATTACTTATATTCCAGGCTAACGCACTTAGCACTGAACTAACCTTTTGTTTTGGATAGCAAGTCATTGTACTTAGAGCACTTCAAAATTTTAACTTTGCCAAAATTTCTTTACAATGCCTTGTTACTCTGCATGGTTTTTGCTGTCTCTGGTGTTACTGCTTTATCTAAATCTGCAGTTCCAGTATGTTTGTGAATTCTAACATGTTCCCAGGTTCAGATTAAATACATAAACCTATCCTGGGGCCAAAGTATATTCCAGCAGTTGCAAAATATGTATGTATTATGGCTGGAAACAACAAACAATCTTTCATATTTCCTATTTTTTAAATTAGACATTTAATTTTTGAATAACACTTCAAATTTATATTGATTTAAATTTTACTTTCATAACCAGTAACACGCATCTTTTGTTCATCATACATCTGCATATGCATATCATTATGCATGTTTTTTAAAACAGGATCTGATGTTAGTGTTGTCTGGAGTAGCACTGAGCTATCTGAGTAAGAAATAAGCAGCAGAACCACAGGCATCTTACAAAAAAAAAAAAAAAAAGAAAGATTAAATAAACAATGGAACAAGAAAAAGAAAATAGACCACATTTTACAGTCGGTCAGTTTTGACACTTGGACAACTCTTAGGCCTTTTCTAACTGCTATGGTCCTCGGTAAAGAGATGAGGGCTGTTGCTTCTTCTCTACCAACCCCAAAATTAAAACTCGGGTTTGTTTAGAGTGATATCTTTCAAAACACATACATGCACATTTCAAGACCAGAGAGTCTTATAAATACATTTTAAGAAACCCGGAAGACAATGAATACTTCTTCCACATGAGTTTTCATATTGTTTTTTGTTCCCCTCCTTCCCTTTTCCTATGTTCCTTTAATTTACAAAACCTTTAATGCAGTATGAAAATGTCATTTTATGTTACTTTTTTCTACAACATGGAAGCTGTGCATAAAAAGTCCTTCTGTCAGTTAACAGTGAGAAAACCTTATCTTGGGGAGTTAAGAAGAGGTCCATGATGCTGTTGAAACATGAACCTAACTATCAGTCTTCCCAATTTCATTGGTTAGACTGGGAATAATTTTTAAAAGATGATAGAAGAAACAATCATGGCATTAGAGTTTTGAACACTAAATATTAAAAAGGTTTGCTTACACCAGACTACCACTAAGGAAATAGTATATATATACTTAGGGTTTTTTGTTACATACATACATAGTGTTCTATTTGACTCCAGCAGCAATGCCAGGAATGTCCATATTGATTAAAATAGTTAATTAAAGTACAGGCATAAATCTGTTCTTTCACTTTTTTTGAATAAAAGCCGACTTCAAGGAAAATTAAGAGAAAAGAAACCTCCTTATCAACCTACATTTGTAAGGTTAGAAGGATCTAGGAAAAAAAAATAAAATCATACATTTTACAAATTTTCTTCTAAATTCTGTATAGCTGACTAGCCAATTCCTATAAAAAGGCCCTAGTAAGTAATTCTGCAAATCAAGTTATGCTGTGTAATATCACAACACAAGACAGTAATCATTAGTCATAAAAGCAACCCTGGAAACTGAAGAGTGTAATATTACATGAAGTGTCTCCAAATCCACCTTCCATTCATCTTCAGGTCATAGAACGGAACATTTGGGTCATTTGTCTACTAGTATTTACTCCTCTGAGTATTATCTAGACAGTAGATTTGGCAGTACATTCATATACTCATCCCCGAAGGACAGTTGAAAAAAATGCATTTTTTCCTTTACTATCTTCAAAAACTTCTTGCTGAATTAAGAATACAATTCAGGTGATGTATATTTGAAATTGAAGAAGCCCTTCCCTTTTATATGTGTGATATCTTGGGGAGGAAACTCACAGCAGCTTAAGCTCATCTAAAGACCATTCATGCAGCTTTTCAAGGTCACTGTTAAATGGGCAAATTTCTGTGCAAATGTTGACCACGCAAAGGTGCTCTACGCAGAGCAGCATTAAAATGTAAATTAAATCCATCCAGAAAGCATTGGGTTTTGACCAATAATTTATATAATAACCTATTGTGCCTGTTTTACCTGGCCACCTGTGTATCTGTCATAACACACACACATTACCATTTTATGGTCAAAAATCAGAAACATGATATTCATGTATTATGTGAAAAAGTTTGTATTTAACAGCATCAGGACTATAATAATACCCACTTGAAACAAACTAGTCCTTAACTTCCCTGGAGAGAAACTTTCCTTTTACAACCTAGCATGTTCAAGTCTATGAAGTAAATTAGATAAGTTTAGAAAAAACTTACCACGTAAAACAGTGAGTCTTGTGGACACGCTTATTTCGCCAACGCTATTGGAAGCCACACATTCATAAATGGCTTCATCTCGTGGTGTGCGCAGTGGTTGTATTCTGAGAACTGATCCAGATCCATCATCAAACTCTATTACCTATAGAAGGAAACAAAAGCTGTCACAGATGTTGTTACAAATGTCTATCCCTCCATTAATCTGCTCCTAACAGTGACTTGTTGGTATTCATTTCATCAAAGCCAAATTTGTTTTTCAAATAGAGGTACCAGGAGGAATGCCACATGGATGGGAAAACGTTTAAGTTCTTATAACATACATTGCTGCTCAATGAGCATTCAACAGCTGCTCCAAGATAGTTTCAAGAAAAGACAGAATGAAAAACAAACAAAACCCCAGCTAATAAGGGCTGTAAGAAAGGATTCTGTAACTTAATGCTCTTTTATCCTGAAGTTCACCACCAATTTCTCTCCATTCTCTTAGCTTAAATACTCTACCTTCAAATGCCAGTTACATTCATTTTAATTGCTGCAGGTTATACTCCCACTCTACTCAGAGAGTGCAGGTCACTCATTCCTTTAGCTGCAAAGTGAAAATGGATCAGCAATTTCTGAACAAGACAGGACTACTCAGTTTAGCTGCGCATTACTTTGTTTATTTATTATTTATTTATCCAACAATATCTTAGAAAACATGTGACCAGTTAAGAGACTAAATAAAAATTCTAAACTTTAAGGTTTATTTTCTAAATTGCAGTGTTTACTTGAGTAACACTGGTTTTCATACAAAAAAACAATTAATCAAATGGCTCTTATTTCCTTATTTTTCTGTAGTCACAATGACATCAGACATTGATGAGTACTGCAGCCTTCTTAATAACTTCCTAAGCCTTCCTAATAACTAAGTAATAATATTAATCTGTTTAATCTACTTGAAAAAAAATATATATTTGTCAATAATATATGTTAGTACTACCATCAGAAAAACGGCACTTAGAAGAAGGGACAGTCACATTTATTTTTTTTTAAAAGAATTAATATTTGTCCATAAGCTATACAAACATACATACTAAAATTCACATCTATGCACATTTGCATACATGTCAGTGTGTGTATGTTTTATTTACACAGAAGGAATCTACTAAGTCTGTGTACTTGTTGAGGGTAAGAGAGAAACATAGTACAGGTTTGGGAACTATTGTTAAATGCCCATTATCTTCCTGTTTTAATTGTAGGACTTAGTTACTTCTTAGCAGGCCTTAGTTACTTTTTAGTTACTTCTCACTCAGTTGTGAGAACTCGCCTGTCACCAAGACATTCTGCATTCAACAATAATAATCTTCAAATATAAAAACAGGCCACTGTCAAGAGAGAGGGAATAAACTGTTTGTTCACCCATTGCTACATAAGACAATTGTTATATACATCAAGTTCCAGAAAAAAAGTTCAGGTTCCACATGAGAAAAAAAAAATGTCATGACAAGGCTCTTGAAGCTCTCTAAGAGGCTGTCCAAGTTTACGGGGCTAGGGGAGGGGGGCGGAGGGGAGGGTGGAATGTAACCCCCAGGACTCCTGGGAAAGCATGTGGATTAGATGGCCTACTGAAGTCCTTTCTAGCTGTATTTGCTAGGCTTTTATGAAGAGAGGTGGTCATGTAAAACATTTTCATGTCTTCTATTACTAAATAATCAAACTCAGAGAAATATACAAAATACCAAGGTGAAAGAGGATGAAAAGAAGCATAACTAATTATCCTCTTACTAGTGCAATTGACAGTCTTAGATGTTTCTTGTTTCCCAAATATTCCATGTGTCTTTTCTGAACCATATTTCTACTGTTGTTCTGTTCTTATTTAGAGATTCTACAGCATGAATTAATGGCCTTACTTTGGACAGGAGGAAAAGATGCTTAAAATATTGATGTGCTTTGCACACTTAATCACTGCTCTGCTCAGTAGTTATAATAAAAATTATAAAATACTTGGGAAGTGTTTTCCATTTCTTTGAATTTCATTCCATCTTACTTGGCTACACATCTTGTCCAACAGTCCAATAAAGGCATCCTAGAACACTTTAAATTAACTTCTCAGAGTTATAGTCAAATATTTTTTATGGACATAGAACTGTACTATTTTTGCCTGTTCTCCCTAAAACCAAGGACATAGTCACATAGAAAACAATGAGGCAAATATTTCAAAATAAAACTGAATCAACACAGTAAACATGTATATACCAAATCTTTCAGTTTAGAACTCACCGTGAATTAAAATTCTGTGACAAGAAGGGGATAAATTGTGTAGAGTTTATGATAAAATTTCTGTGTTAATCCCTCTAGTCAATTACAGCTCTGCATTTGCTCTGCAAAGTGCAAACAGTTCTTGGCACTAGGTCGCATTTAAATTCATGCTTTCATTTCTCACGTTGTAGTAAGTATACAAGCAAAGGATTATATTGGCTAATGAACAAATTCTAATCCTTTAAATATTTTTTGAACAAGAAAATAAATTTAAAAAAACCAGTTTATGCAAGATATGTGTTGGTTTTTTTGTTTTGTTTTGTTTTTTCTGCTACTGTAAACCTAACCTAAAAGCCAGAACAAGTAATCTTTCCAAATACTGCTAAAAATTAACACTTCAGTATTTGCTCAGCTTTTAATAAGTATATCTTAGATAATTTGTTCATAAAATGTTTGCCACAGCTGTTTTATATTTAACATTGAAAACAGTAAAGAGACATGGTGAAAATTATACACTCTTATAACTAGTTTTTGGCATCCATTCTACAAGCCTTCTCCCATTTTCTGATTTTTCCTTCACGTTAAAGGTCAGTCCATATTTGATATTAATTGTTCCTGCCACTAAAACATGGAATAATATTTGTTGTCTTATTTTCCCCAAATAATCAGTATACTTTGAACACATTATCTTCACTGTTTCCTTTAATTGAAGGTTGTGGAGAGAGAGGAAACAGCTTTCTCTAAGGGCTTTTCCTAGGCTATTGTTAATAAAAGAATCACAAGCAAACAAGTTTTACATTTCCTCTTCAGAAGCGGGGACTACAATGTTCCTTTCGTCTCCATCTGCAAAAGTGTTAAGCAATTATGGCAGCAGAAGCATTAGCAGCCTAGGTCTGTTTGATGCACATTGTCACAGAAGGAGGTGACTTGCTCCCTGGAAATAGTAATCACTGCTCAAATAATTTTCCCCCATCTCCATCATGCAAAAGACACCAGGCTGGACAGAAGCACATCAACAATCACCAGTTAGGTCATGCTAGTTTAGAAAACAGCAGCAGCAGTTTTCTCTTTAGCAGTGCTATGCATAACCACTTTGCAAAATAAAAACTTCACAAGACTGTTCCCACTAAATTATGCCTAATAGTGATAACCATATTGCTTAATCACTGATAATAAAGCACATATGTTTGGTTTAGGAATGAGGTTGGAATTAATGTTTTTCAGAGGAACAGAACAATGGACCTAATACCTCAAATCTCTGATTGCTGACTTTCTTTCCCTTTTTGTTCCAGACAATTTTAGGTCTTGGATCTCCTGTGGCTTGACAGATGAATGAGGCGACTCCTCCAGAAACTCCTGTCTGGTCCACGGGGGTTCTTGTAAACTTGGGTGGTGCTGAAACAGACCAAAAAAAGAACCACTGAAATTAATCTGAGTAGTAAACATAAAAATAAACTATGTCAAGATTTCAAAATGAGAAAAGAAGGAAAAGTTTTGTTTCTGCAGTGACAACATTCACCTACAAAAGAAAGCGTTAAAGTATAACTGAAAGGTCAGGAAAGTACTTACAGGTTTTTACCAGTGAAATTTATATTAAAATGGAAATCTGATAGGTTCAGAATAGCAAGATCAGACTTTATATTTCATCACCATTATAAATAAAAAATGCAATTTGTCTTCTGTCAAAAAATGAGCTCATGAACCAGCTGAAATAAGGTTATGATTCATGACTTGATGTCATGATCTCAGGATGTTACAAAAACAGGATTCCCAGCTTTTAGCATCAAACTCAGTGACATTTAGGAGAAATAATTTGTAAATTTGTAGTGGTGAAGGTAAATGACTATTTTTTAAGCATTCACACAGAAAGGACTATAACAGAAGAAAGATTTATGCTTGGACACAGTTTCATGTATAGCTTCCATTCACTCCCAAATTAATCTACTCTGCCAGAAAGAAGTGAAAAAGATCCAACTGTTGCAACAACAGGAGAAGAGACAGAAATGGAGAAATCATTCTAGAAGTATGAAAAAGCATTTTAGTTAATTATTCTCTTTCCTTCTATTTCTGTTACAACATATTTAGAATTAATTTATCAGCCTTGTGGTGGAAAAAAAGCTTTTTATCTTACACTAACCCAAGGCATGTCTTCTAAAGATTTAATATAAAAATCTGAGATTATACCTAACCACAGTACAGAAATCTTGAAGAGTTCCTGTAAATATTTACATCATTCTCTTTCTCAGCTGAGAAATTTTTAGAGATCAAGTAACTTTAAGATGCTGCTGTGAATGATATGAAGAAAATACTTAGAGTCAATGAAAAATAAAAAACCCAGGTCTTTGCTATATAGTCTCTCTGAGTCTTAATTTGTTACATGTTGTTGATCTTTTGCAGCTGTTTTAACTAATTTTTGCTCCCATCTTTGACTTTCAGCAGTCAGCATCTTTCTATTCTCAACCTATTTGCTCTTCTTCACTTTGCTCTGCTAGTTCTGTCATTTAGGTACCTGTACTGTACTAGTTTTCATGTCCAAGTTGCTGCTCTTTACTCCTGATGTCTAAGTCCTTATTCTGCTGAACTGGTCCTTCCACAAGTAATGTGTCTTGTCAGCATATTTATTTAAATACCAGAAACCCAGAAGACTACAAGTATGCATCTATGTAACACTGGAAGAAATCCTAAAATAATTTCAGATACCAAGAAAATATGATGTGGCCATTATTATAAAACAAACTAGGTATGTTGTTATTGTGTTGCTACATTAAATATGACGGTAAGCAAATTGTCCTAAGTTTACAAAATTAAATAAGTCGTTTTTACGCTATCCCTTATGTGTAACACACCTGTAACAGAAATAATTTTTTTAAAAGGTAGTAAAAATATAATATTCCTGGAAGTCTGCATGCTTTTTTTTTTTCCTTAATAGAGGTATCAAGCAAAATTATTACTGCTCAACTTTTCAGAATGCTCAAGAGTCCTTGAACTATGTGCTATGCTAATTTTACCTTGTGAATATGCACCTAAAACCACGTGCAATAGCAGATCTGGGCACAGCAAAACAGTGTGTCACTGCAGCCATGGGGCACTTACAAAAGAATTTCTCTGATGTCAAAAATTTGGCAAAACCATGGCAAACAAAACACACTTTAAGCAAAGAAATTATAAGTCCTTCTCCAAGTAACAAGCTTTATGCCTTGGACAAAAGACAGCAATATATTCTGAAGAAGAGCATCTGGGTTTCACCAAAACTGCTAGGTTTGAATCCTCTTCTATGCATGTTTTAACCCAGCACTCTGATATGTAAAGAGACATAACTGAATCTGATATGTTGATATTCTGTGGCACAAGTTGTGATTTTCTGTCATCAAGTGAAAAATGATGTGCTGCCATTCTCCTTTTATTCTCTTTGACATTTTGTGAATTCAGTGTTGAATCTCAAACCAGCAAAACAAAACCAGCGTGGACAAGTCCATCAGCGCAGAGTAACTATACACAGTAGCCCATAGGCAGCTTTTAAATTCTAAATTTATGCCTCAATCATACGTTCTGTGACTACCCAACTGATAATTTCAGCATCAATAAAATAACTTACTTCCTCAGAGATAAGGTCTGTATTGGAAAATTTGCCAGTTTTGCCATGCATTACAAGGGTTAAGGAGGGAAAACAACTCAATTTAAGAGCTATACTGTACATTCATTCCTGCAACACTTCTCTTACTATCTTGGGACCAAGAGAACTGCAGATTTTTAAACAACACACGAAACAAAAGCAATGAAACATTATAAGCAAAGACTGTGTTGAACTACATTAAATTAGCTCTGCAAAAAGAAACAAACAGAAAATCCCACCATAAAAAAAATATTAAGTTTTTATGTCACTGCCAGTTACCATGGTATCTATAGTTGGTACACTTTTACTAACATGAAATATATTTTATTAACAATAACAATAACTAAAGAAAAAGAAAAAAAGCATAAAGGGGAATCCCTCCTCAGATACTCAGAGGTAAATTCTCCAATTAGTGCAGTAAACACAATAAAGTTTGCACTCATTTACACCATATGGCAATTTACCTTTCCCAGTGCTGCTGAAGACAAAAGAAACAAGGAAAATCCCCTTAATCTCCAACACTCTGCAAACTGCAAAGCTCCTAATCAAATAGTGCACATAGCAATATATAGAAAACTAATAATTTTCCACCAAAACTAACTGCTGTTGTAGGTGAAGCCAGTTTTCTGACAGTTCCTTCATCAACGACTAGACACAATCTGGTAAAGGACTGTAACTGCTATGACTCCTTATGAAAATTGCTTACTAGCTTCTGCAGAGCTGTATCTACATAGTGAAGTTGCAAAACAGGGCTGAGTACCAAATGTAGCTTCGGTTGCCACCTGAAGAAGAATGGTATTCTTACAGTCCTACTTGAAATTTTGCCAGATTGACAGTTAGTAAAGCTGTTGTTTATTAACTAAAAATACTTGCTACAAAGCATTAGGGCAAAAGATAAGTGCAGTTGCTGCATAATGATGCAATTCCTTAGTTGTAGATATTTTTTAAGAAAATCAAGTTTTTAAGGTTGTACGTAAAAAACACATTATTTTATGTACAGACTGATATTATCTATATTAGTAAAAGCCCTTCATATTCCAGTAGAGAAGTCAACCATGATGATATCTGTATTTTACTTAGGCCATAATCTAGCTGAAAAAAAATACAGTATGTAGATGGTCAAAGTTTCTTCTTGAATACCAAGTAATTCCTGTGGAAAAAAAAAAAGAAAATCACAACTCTTCTCCAGAGCCTAATCTTGAAAGTAAGACAGTTATCTTTGAGGTATAATATGATATTAGGGAAGGTAAATTATTATTAGAACATAGATATTTTTGTCTGAAACAGGGAACTTAGAGCAGTCCTGTACACTTTAGACATTTTAATGCATACAATGCCCACCTGCAGCAGTACATCTTTAAATTCACAAAATTAAATTTAATTTAGCAAACCAATTAAATTCTTTGCTTCAGGCTCAGCGGCTGCACCAGAAGGATAATAATGTCTGCATACTTAATAGGTGTTGTGCGGATAAACTCGTTTGTGGTCAAGAGATGCTCAGACGATGGTGATAGTAGCCAGCCAGCCATGGAGAAAGATAGGTAGTATGCAATCCATCTTTTCATTATTCAATCAACATGTTCATCTCATTACGTATAAAGTGACCATCATCAGTGTAAGTGTATGTGAAATCATAACCCAACAGAACCAAAAATGAAAAGTAGTATTTGTTCCCTTTGTCTTTATAAAGGTTGTTAATTAAGGTTTGACACAATTCTTCTCCACAATTAATGTTGTCAGTTTCTTGACATTGATTCTGACCTAAGCTGCTAGGAACTCTGCTAGCAAACACAATTACACTGCACACACAGTTGTGCTTATTAACATAAGGGCAATTTTGATTGAGAACTGACAACTATTTTCAATCTCCCTTAACAACAGCAGTACAGAGTCCAACAAAAACTCTCTGCATCACACTTCATTAAGCACAGTAACAAACTATATGGGAACCTTCCAGTGCAATTAAAACTGAAAAAAAAAAAAAAAATCAGATGTAATAGGTTACCAACTATGATATCAGAAGCCTTCCAGCACTTTTGAAACCCCACTTGGTCACATTTCAACAAAACTGTGATTAAAATAACAGACACAATTAACATAGCAATAGTAAAATTCAGTTAAAATCAGCACTTCATATTTCTGGACTTGAACTCTCTTGTGGGCATCATTAAAACTGCATCAATATTGGCTATTAAATGCCAAATACATGCCTTGTTTGCTTCGTCTTGTTTTATCTAACATTCCCTACTGAGACATTTGTGCTGTTACTGAATGTGGGTACCTCGTTGCCATTGTCTAAGCCCACCCAGTTGGCAACCTCTAGGGATGGGAAGAGAAAATAACTCAAAAGGCTCAAAGGTCAAGACAAAGGACACTGACTTGGATTCACTCACCAATTACGGTCATGGGCAAAAGACATACCCAACTTGGGAAAACAGAACCAATTGAATTTGAATTAAAAAAAAAAAAAAAAAAACCACAAATTTATCAGCTGAATCAGAGCAGGACAGTGATAAATACAACAAGATCTTAAAATCATCTTCCACCCACCACTCCCTTCTTCTTGGGCTCAGCTCTGCTCCCCATTCTTTACTTGCTCCCCACACTGGCACAGGAGGGCAAGGAATAGGGGTTGCTGTCACTTCATTCCACATTGTTCCTGCTGCTCTTCCGTCTTCATGGGGAAAACTCCTCACAGTTCTCCCCTGCAGCAATGTGGCGTCACTCCCATGGGAGACAGTCCTTCACAAAGTTCTCCCATCAGTGTGGGTCCCTTCCACAG